TTTGCAGATGTGCTGTTTTGTCTGAACAAGCACTGCTTCTCTCTTCTTGCCGTGTGGTTGAAAGAGGCGCTGCAACCTCCAGGATTCCCATCATCACGGATCACAGCTGAGCAGAAAGATAACTTTTCACACCAGATACTCAGGTAACACCACTGGACACACACATCCATAATGTCATCCTTTTATTTGGTCTCACTGAGATTTAACATATGAAACAAATACAGAAACACACAGTAAAATCGAGGGAGTGTGAGACTCACATCATATGCGATAACACTTTAAGAACAAGTAACATCACATTGACCAAGAGGACTGTTCTGCATCACCACCAACTCTGACAGTTTCAGGTCCTTCTGTAGATTATTCCAGAAACAAGAGGTGCCATACTTCAAATTTCAAGTAAAATTCAAATTTTTTTTGTCACATAACATATCCATACACAGTATGACATGAGGTGAAATGCTTATTGCTGTGCCATGCCCGACCATTAAATTACCATTACTTGAGGCATTGTCACATCTGTTGTTCATTTACTCTGGTCCTAATCTGTTGATGAGTTTGTAAACTTATAACGTGTTCACTGTGATAATTTGTCACTACAAACCACACGAGACTGTTCAGTATGATCATTGGCTAGATATGTCTGGAGTGTGAGCAACAACAGTAAATACGGATGCTGTGTTCTGAACTGTTGGAGATTTAAGTTAAGTTCGCAGTTGCTAGCCCGTACAGACCACAGCACGTATATTGGACCTTGTTACTTCCCAGAATACACGGCATACATGCGTTTTTTGCTCAAACTGGAAATTTACTCCTGGTAGTTTGTTCAGATTGAGGTCAAATCACATTCACACCATACACGAACCACACAAAACTACCTCCTCCAAAGTGTCTCAGTGCGGTTGTTTTTGTCTGCACCCGAGCGCGATTACTGTGTCACAGCTACACAAAGGAACGGCACCAAGGGGGAAAACAAACCAGAGTTCTGCTCTAAGTTTGGAGACAAATGTTTGTAAAATATGAGACTTTACTGATTATGCTTTAAACACATGTTTGCACACAAAGAAGGAAGCAGCCCAAGGAGCAATTTACATATACTTTATAATTGTTTCTTTTCTGCCTTCTTTTCTTCTCTATTGTTAAACAGAGAGCGAGTGAACAAGAGGAGGGTGAAGGATATAGTGAAGGAGTTTACGCTACTGTGCAGAGGTCTCCATGGTACAGAGTACGCCGCTGAGTACTGAAACTCTACCCTTGAACTTTTACCTAACCATGACCTGTCTTCAGTGCAAAACAGCTGGATGCCACAACTACACAGTTCTCTTGAACCCCTTCAGCGAAGATATCATGAAATGATTGTAATGTAACCGAACCCGCTGCAGAACAAGACATGAAACCATTCCAGTGCAGACGCGCCATTGGATTAATGGACAAACATTAAATCCATGGCTCTAGAGAGGCCATGATTTCTTTTTTCTTTTTTTGTTATAACCTTGATTGTTTCTCTCGCCCACTTGCCTCTCTTCTCTTACTTAAAGGTCTTTTGTTAAGTCAAGCTTTGAGGAGAAGTGCTGCCACACATCTCCTTTTCTCTCTGTCTTGTTCTGCCTTTCTAGATCTTCCTGTGGTTCCTAGATTGTTTCCTGGTGATTAGCATCCATATGAAATGGTAGTGGTATCGTACGTAGCTACTTAACATTATTTTCAAAATGAATCAAATTAATTATATAAATGTATATGTATGCACATATATTAAGACAGTGGTTTTCAGTCCTGCTGCTGCTATAAAGAAAGGAGAAAAGGACCAATCTTAGGGGGAGGGGCGGGGGATTCTGCAGGAAGACTGACGTCGATATAATATTTAGTCCTACTCATGCCCCTTGTGATCTCTGCATTTGCCAAATTATCATGGATCTTTCATTTTTGTGTTTTGTTTTTAAATAAATGCCTTTTATGGGATTTATATGGAGACAGAAAGCTGAAGACCACATTAACTTGGTCAGTCTTGCCCTGCCCATTGTGTACAGGGCTGTACCTCATGTACATATGATTCCACCCAGTCATATTGCAGTCTCCTCAGGTTTGTAGATAGTGGGTAATGCAGTGGTCCCTTAGGTGAAGCAGGGCTGCCTACAGTAACAAAATGAAAGGAAAATAAATTGTAGTTGCTGGTAGAGAACGCGGCCCAAGATGTAAATGAAGAAGGGAACAGACTGCTGGGAGGGAATAATAATCCTGACGGTGGACTGCTTAGTCACTGTAATTGTGCAAAAATATTAATCAACTTGTGCATATTAACAGTTATTGCTGAACACTTATGTGTATTTGAGTGTATGCGTGTGTTCATACCTGTATGTATGAGAGGTTGTGCATGAATGTGTGCGCGTGTGTCTGCACAGATTATATCTTTTTCCACTTGTTTAGTGCACTTATATCAGACCTACAGTTCACATGCATAATTTCTGCCGGTTTTTTAAAGAAAGAGCCCAGTCATCCATTCGTATCTTCATACCACTCTTATTCAGCTTACTCTCTTCATTAAAACTGACCATGCACGGCCAAATATTTCACCTATGCTGCTCACCAGCAACCACACCCATCTATTAAACCTCCTTTTCATGTGGAAAATCATTGCTGAGATTCATCCGTCTATCTGTTATTGACACCAACTACTGCTCTTAACGAACTGCTTGCAAACAAGCTACCCAGAATCCTTTTACCCACCTGGGTCACTGCCTTGGAGAGGACCGAGAAGGATTAGAGAGTTCAGTAACAAATTGCAAGACCGCTGAGAAAGTTTTTTTGAAACCGACATTCTGTGCTCATCTAATATGCCTGAGACATTATTGGTGAAGTGATGCGAGGGCTGTAAAATACACTGTCTAGTGAATCAGCAGGACCAGCTGACACCTAATAACACTCAGCATTTGAAATGTACTTTGTGGTCTCTGATAAAACTTTATCTCAGTCTAATCCTTCTGTCTTATCCGCGGTGCCTGCAGACATGTAGCATGTATGTGTTTTTGTGGGGAGGGGGTGGGTGGGGGCGAGGTAGGGTAGAGATGTGATTTGTGGAGTGAGATCCGAGGCATGAATCGGCTTTGGAGTGAGCTGTTCTGCTTCAGAGTCTGATATGAACTGTGACGTTGAACGCCGATCCCCTGTCGGTGTTTCGCTCTTACTCTGAGGCGAGGAAATGAACAATGTTTGTCACAGTTTAAAGAACGACTTGTAGGTGGAGGGGAGGGAGGTATGAAATGTACTTGGTTTTTTTTGTACCTTGGCTTTAATTTATTAAATATATCTAAGACTGCAACTCTTGACTTTTTATGTGTGTGTGTGTGTGGGAGTATTTTTGTTCTTTTACTTCAACACTTGCATTAAAATGTCTGCAACCTCCTGCATATATTTTCCAATTTTCAAAACGTTTTACACAACTAAGAAAATGTCTTCAATTGCTTTGTTTTTTTTATAGCTTGAGAGAGTGAGCCTATTATGCGAATTTACAACTCCATATTTCTGTTTTTGGACTGCACCAGAGCAGCACTGTATTACTCACATTTCAAAATAGTAGTTATTTACCTTATTCTGCTCCTGGGTGCAAACCCAGTGTATCCTATCCTCTCTCTTTAATGTCACCTTTAGTTAGAGCCAACTCTTTTCTGATTGGCTGTACCTGGTACATCAAGTTTAAACAGCAGTTGGGGGCTATTTCTTTACTCACAACATGAATTGTGTCCCTGAGATGACTATATTACCTGCACCCACAGCAGCTTTTTGCTTACAGGGTTTATTTGCACATATATTTGAATGGTAGCGTCAGAATTTGGCATAAAGAACATGAAAACATGGATCTACCCTGCCTTGTATCAGGCTTGTGATTGTGTTGTAATGATGTGGGCAATACTTTCTTGGCACACTTTGGGCCCCTTAGTACCAAATGAGCATTATTTTAAGGCCACAGCTGACCTGAGTATTGTATCTATCTTCTGATGGCTGCTTCCAGCAGGCTAGTTCGTGGTGTCACAAAATTTAAATGAACATGAGAGTGAGTCCTCTGTACTCAGATGGCCTCCACAGTCACCAGATCTGCAGCAGCTGTGTGATGTTTACTATCTTAGTGTGGACTGAGATCTCTGAGGAACTTTTTCAGCACCTTGTTGAATTTTTGCCACAAAGACCCAAGGCAGGAAAGATGTGCAGGGTGAGTTTATATGAGAAGAAATAAGGAAAACAGTAATTGGCTCCCTTGAGCTGTATACAATTCTTCAGGATCACCGGGACAGGATGTTAGAAATACTAAGATTAATAGTCAAAGTAAACCCCCAAAGTTTTCCAGCATGAAGATCTAAATGACATGCCCCCCCCCCCCAGTTCTATTAATTTCAGCTTGTTCTGAGTCATTTTAAAGAAAAAGATTATTTTCACGTGTTTTAGAAATTTTAAAAGGAAAAGTACAAAATAATTTACAAGTTGCTTCCCTGTTGGCAATTTTCACATTAAAAGTTCAAAGCCTCCCAAAATTCACTGACATCACCGAAACTTCTAGTATGTTTGCTGATAATGATAAACAGACTGCCATCAACAGGATTTACAAAGAGGATTTATATAAAATAAAGAAATAACCTGTTTTGAAAGCATTATCCTCCTTTTGTCCCTTTTGCCCACTTAAAATATCTTTATAGGACTGTTGTGCAATTTCTGGTCCTGTTTGGCCAGAACTCGATTGAAAAAGGCATTTTTAATGGCAATGAGACTTTCACAGAATAAATAAAGGATAAATAGAAATTGCCAAAACAAAACAAAAACAAACAGATTCCAGCTTCTAACTTGTGACAGGAAAGTTCACTGTTGCTCAAAAGTAGTTGATACCATTCATAAGAAATATGGCTGAAATATGGGATAAAATTGACAGATTATAAGCCCAAAAGTAATTTACCACAGTTTAAATACTGGGGATCATCACTGAGCAAATACTATAAATCACTCTTTGCTACGACACCCACTTGCGCATGCGTCTTGCAGTTTGAGTGGCTCACACGTGGGTGCAGAGGTCCAGCCATCCTTCCATCCATTCAGTCAGTCAGTCAATCAGTGTGCAGACCGCAGCTAACTCAGCCGCTTTCAGTCTGTCCTGCAGGAGCAGAAGTTACTCCGGGACTCCAGCAGAGACCAGGTTTGATCCCAGACAGCGTAACTGCTGCTGCACGTAAGTTAGCTAATGTGCTTTCTGCTAACTCTGCTGCCTTTTAGCCGCTTAGCTTCCACACAGGAAACATGGAAAACTCCCCCAGCTCTTTTTAGACACGAGTCACTTATTAAGAAGTTGTATCCCTTATAATGTGTCGTCGTTGTGTTTCAGTCAGTTGACACAGAGGTGTGTGTGTGTGTGTGTTTATGTTGAAGGGGGTTGCAGTTTGTAGCGTGTTAAACACTAACAGAAAACTCCTGACCGTGCAGTGTGTGACCTGCAATCAGTGGGCCATTTATCAGGATCAGGATTGTGTGTGTGATTTTTATATTGGACATAGTTCTGCATTTATTATTGTAATGTAGGTTTTTTTAAGTGTAAAATTAAGGAAGTTTAATAGAATGTTCACCTGAGCCACAGCAAATATATATAAGGAAATGAATAAATACTTTTGAAACCATGAAATCATAAGTGTTCATGACAAACATCTCTTATCTCTTGAAAATCTGATGACATGAATTATTTTTTAATTAGAATATTTTTAATGAGTGCTAGGGTACTGCTCATTTTTCTTTAGGGGAGCCCGGAATTTCTTATGTGGAGGAAAAAAACTTATTCTCTGCACATGTGTCAATACATGTAGAGTACAGATCAAAGAAAACCTTCACGTGTTGGTTTTCTAACCTTGCAAAAGTGTTATACATGTTTATAATTCAAACAACTTGAGTTGGATCTAGACATTTTCCAGATGTTTTACCAAAAATGGATTAACTTTTTTTTGTAATTAAAAATTGGAATAGTTAATGACTTGAATACAACTTTCAAATTTGTTGTGGTCCCTGGGTTGTATGTTCAACATGCTGATATCGTTGGCTTTCTGTGACGATTTGCAACATTTTTCTCCTTTTGAATCAAACGTACAGTGGACTGAAAACTTTTAAAAACTACAAATAAATTGAGATCGTGCAGTATTAATAGTTTTTATTTGTTTTGAACTTAATGTACAGTAAATGAAAATTAGATTTCAGTGCGTTTTCTGCTAATGTAAATTCTTAGAATTTCAAATCAAAATAAAGTGATCTGTACCAGCGTTCTTCCTCTTAGCTCCTGTTCCACCTTTGTAGCAAATTTAATGAAATTCACCTCTGTAGTTTGTGTAATCTTGCTGAAAATCCAAAAAAAAAGACCTTTAAGAAAAAGCCTAAGTCGGAGTGAGAATTTATCTTGTAACATCCTCTCTGTTCTGTGTGCCTTCGAGGTCCTTGGCACAAAATGTGCAGATTCAGCCTCCCTCCTCTTTCTTTTATCCCTTCATTAAATCGCTGACTCCATGATGATGAAATCCGGGCGCTGTGTGGCCCATAGCATGTTGCAGGACTCCAGTTCTTTTTCCTGTTTGGGTTCAGAATGAAGTGTAGCCCAATCCTGCTACAGCGTAATGGTTTGTAATCAAAATATTTAAAGCTCTTAAAGCTTTTGAAAACTGCCATATCTAAACATAGATTACTCTGCTATACTGAGAGATGGCTTTCACAGCCTCTCTGAGGTCTTGCGGAGGTGTTGGAATGGGTTGTAGGCTTTTTGCAGTATTACGAGTGGCCTGCTATCTCATTATTGGTTTGTCTTGACCTGAATCGATCTGGAGACTAGGGTCGGCACACTTAATATTGGTCATCAATTTCATACTTTGGACTCTGATTTAATGACTCATTACTTCAGAAAATGCAGTCAGTAATAGGCTAAATCAATTCTATTGACAAATGATCCCTAAAATTCACCTTCTTTGACCCTCTACAATTGATTTGACTAATGCACTACCCTCTGCCTTTAAACTGGATTTGTGTATCTCTTCATCAGTCATGGCTGTCGTGAGGTTCTACAGTAATGAAGCTCTGAAAAGTCGGGCCTTACAAAGGGCAGCAAAGCTCTACCCACATCTGTTAGTCACGACCGAGCTGTGCTACAATGTGGAACTGACAGGTGAGTGTGTAACAGGCCTTGAAGATGCTAATTATTATCGATGTGGGTAGAATGAGGATTAAAGTCACTGAATTCACCTTAAAGGTTTCTTACTAGTCTACCACTTAAAATGTCACATTTACATCTGTTTATAATGTTTTGTCCTGCTGTGATTTTTCTCCTGCAGGCTGCGAGAGTCTCAGCGATGAGCAGAAGGGGGTTCTACTCTGGTTGTTTCGTCATCCTCTGCACGCAGAGCCGCTGTCTGAGAAACCAAACCTCACAGAGGGCAGTGGGGAGAAACTGGTGGAGATCGGGCCCAGGTACTGCTGCCTGGTTTTTAGAGAGAATTCATTTGCATCTCAGTCTTTTTGCTTAGCACAAAACACACAGATGCCATCTGCAGTTGCTTTACCAGGCAATCCCTGCTCTTATTTCGAAAGTTCAGTCACTGCCAAGCAGCTAGCCCTGGCCTTTCCCTGTGAATCCTGACTTGATGAGGTCCTGGCTAGGTAGCAATCAGCTGCTTTACCAGCGAGGATCCGACATCCACCTCCACTGTTTTTGGATTGCAGCTGGGATTGCTAGTCCTTGTTCTTTTTTGAGATCCACAGATATCGCAGTCCTAGGCAGCAGGTCGCGATTACGAGCTGCAAGAAGGTGGAGCTGGAAGAAAGATACAAATCTGTACCTGTGCATTTTCAAATGTTTGTGTTCCTGGTGCTGTATGTTTGTTTTCTTGGCAGTTGGCGGTACATTGTGCATTTCTATTTGTACTCTATTCTTTGACCACATATACCCCAACTTTTTTTCTTTCTTTTTTTCCCTCCTGCCTTAGACATTGTCATTCTGTATAAATAAGATTCCAGTTAGTGAAATGAGAACTTAAGGTTATGAAATATAGGAAACAAAGAAGTCAAACTGGTAAACTGCAAACAAGCCAGGCCGTGAGGGTTCTGGCCAAGACGTTTGTGACTTCCTGTAGCATACATTAAAATAAATACCGTCTGTACTGAACAATGTTAGGCAGGTGTTCACTGTGACTAAGGGTAAGTAATATGGAAATCTTTAAAAGTGCTGAGCAGACTGTAGGCGAGCCTGACTTAAAAGTAAATAGGGAAACATATGGTACAGTTTTAATTAAAATAATTCTTTTAAATCGTTCATATGAGAGAAAGTCTACATTATAAAAAAGTCTTTTATGTTATATTTTCAGGTTGAACTTCTCCACTGCCTGGTCCACTAACGCTGTGTCCATCTGCCAGAGTGCCGGTCTCACTAATGTCACCCGAGTTGAGCTGTCGCGCAGGTTTCTCATCAAGGTGTGAACACACACACACACACACACACACACACACACACACACACACACACACACACACACACACACACAGAAAAATCTACGCATATATATACATACTTTTCTTTTTCTTTCGCGACTTTACTTTCTGGGTCTAATGTGAACTGTCTCTGCTTCAGCCCAAGACGGAGCAGAGTGTGAGTGAAATCAGTGGAGATGTAAAGAAGCTGATTGAGTGTCTGTATGACAGCATGACGGAGTGCATCTATCAACACCCCATCACCTCCTTCACTGTGGAAACAGAACCTCAGGCGGTGTTCGACGTGGACATCCTGGGGAAGGGTCGCGCAGCCTTGGAGAGCGCTAACGATGAGCTGGGTGAGAATTTATTCATTTTATATTTTTTTACACTTTAATAGAGTTTCCTTACTGGGGCTCTCTTAATTAATGGAGCATTATTGAGCTTCATCCTCTTTTAATCTCTGCTTTTACTTTCCTCAATCAGTCTTTTATTGCATTTAATGAACTGTGACCTGCCTCTCTCTTCTATTTGTCTGCTCTTCCTTTATGCTGCTTCTCAGTCTTACAGTGGTCTGTGAGTACACTGCTAATAACGTCACATGATGCATGACATTATTACTTAGCTGGTTGAAGTCACAGGACGGCAGTGATGCTGCTGATTATCTTGCACGTGCATGTGTGTGTCTAATGTAAAACCCTAAAGAGATAAAGGCTCAGTCGATTGAAGGACTGAATAAACTGATCTGAGTGATATTTGAAGCCAAGATTTTTGTTTTGTTTGTTTCTGGTTGACTAAAGGTTTTTAGTCCTTGTACCTGACCTGATTTTCTTTGTTAGTTAGTTTGTTAAGATTTGTAACACACAGAAAACAAGGGACTGAACCAGTGCTTAGTCCACACATGGCAAAAAACTTACAACATATTATTTTATTTTTTATCTTTAAGCGCTTAGTTACAGGCAGTATGTCATAAAATCCCAGTTTTACAGGCATAAAATGGTATTTTTGTACCCACGAGGTGATTCTTAATGAGCTATTAACTAAAAATTTGGCGTATCTCAGCATGGTGTGTAGTTTGTCCTTAAAAAAATTTAGTAAACTGGAGAACAAATGACTTATTGGCAGACCTAAAAAAAAAAAAAAAGGTGAATGGCATCTGAAATGGAGTAAAAGCAGAAAACACTGTCAGTCATGGACGGGCCTTCCCGGAGCCCTGACCTCAGCATCACTGAACACCGTGAGATCATCTTGTCATCGGTTTTATAACCGTACCGACTCTATTTTTGTCTTATATACTATATTAACATTAACATGCAAATAAATTAGAAGTGGCCTGAGACATTACTGTATAAGATAATAAAAGCAGTTAAGTTATTTTCCTAGAAAAAGTTGGATGCAGCGGTTAATCACACTTTAAAATCATTTTTGTTTCCCTAGTGACGCTGATTTTATTTAAGGATCATTGCTAAGTTAAGGTGTGTCGTTTCTAAGTCGTTCTTGGTTTTATATTTTCTTACTTAAATTATTGCTATTTACCGCTCTTAACTAACCATCTTTAAAATCCATTGCAGTCTGTCCGAAATGCAGCTGCACATCTTTTAACTGTTTCCAAGAAGAGATGTCTGCATCTTTATTCACTCTCTGTTAGCTTTAGAGTCAATTTTAAAATTCCCGTTTTAGCTTTGAAGCTAAAGCGCTCCAGTATATCGCACTCGGTGTCTCTCCTTCGGGTTTATGAGCCCGTTGTAACATGATCTTCTATTCGCCGACCTGGAGCTGCAGTCACACTGCGGTGAAAGCTGTAGGCTGACAGAAACAGCCAGTTGCAATTGTTTGACCAGACGACCTTGTGTCCTCTTCAAACTCCCTAATTTTTCCTTTAAATAATATTTAAAGTTCAAGGAAATCTCCTGCAAAAACAAGCTCATGATTTCTGACTTACCAAAATGATTAAGATTGCAGTTACGGCCCACAGTAAAAATACTTTTTGCAGCCATACGAACAAGTCAGTTCTGTCATCTGTGCGTAACGGCGATTTTCTGTGTAATGACCCAGAACTGTAAAACATTTCATGTGTCTGCACGCTGAGTGATTATTTCCTCCTAATAATGTGAACAGGTTTCAGGCTGACACCAGCCACAGCGACAGAACGTGGCGTGCGTTCTTATGTTCATGCTCTGCTTATTCGCTCAGCTTCATTAACATTCACAAGCAGCTCAAAGAAATGAGAATCATTTCAGTGCACGTACTTTGTGGGCGCTGCCATGCTCGGCTGGTGAATTGAGGAGATAATTAAAAAGAGGTATATGTGGAATTTGTTCTGACTACAGCTGCTTTGAATCCTTATGAAATGAATTTTACACTCAGTGTTTTGGTGTTTAATAGATGGGACACAAGTTTGTTATGCAGTGTGGATCCTTGGAATACTAATTGTAATGTGTTCGTGCTAAGTACTGCTTAAGTTTAAGTGCAGTGGAAGTGATCAAATTTATGTGTAAACGAGCCAAAACCATCTCAGAGTTGTCGGCTTTCTTGTGTTTTGAAGCATGTTTGAATGCATGGGAGTGTGTCGATTGATTTTTGTTTCGCCCGAGGGTTAAGTGATATTTTTCCAAGTTTATATATAGAGAACAATTCAGGGGAAGAAATGCTGACCGAAGCACTGTGCACCTTTTTAGAAGAGCACGTTTTGAATCGATAGTAAATGGATGGAAACTACTCAGTGCTCTGTGGTTGTTTTTTTTCAGTATTGAGGAACTTTATGTATGCACTTTTGTGGTTGGTGCAGGCTTGGCCTTTGACTCCTGGGATCTGGACTACTACACATCGATGTTCCAGAGGATTGAAAGGAACCCCACCAGTGTGGAATGTTTTGACCTGGCCCAGTCCAATAGGTGGGGCCGTCTGCAGTGAACAGATTGGCGGGACTGCTCTGTGTGTTGTGTGTTTTTGGTATTTATACGCTGCAAGGCTTTCTTTGTCCTTCCCAGTGAGCACAGTCGTCACTGGTTCTTCCGGGGGCGGATGGTGATCGACGGGAAGGAGCAGAAGGAGACTCTTTTCAGCCTCATAATGGACACGCAGCGGCACAGCAACCAGAACAACGTCATCAAGTTCTGCGACAACAGCAGGTAGTAGTGGCGACAGCAGGGGCGAGCACACTCGTGAGCGTGTCTGTCTATTTTGGCTCACTGTAAATTTTCTGTGTGTGTTCAGTGGCATCAAAGGCATGGAGCTTGAGTTCATTTACCCAAAAGACCCATCCCAAGCGAGCCCGTATGAGACTCGGCGCTCACTAAGACATGTCATCTTCACAGCAGAGACGCACAACTTCCCGACTGGTTAGGGCGCAAAAAGTTTTGTACTTATTTAAAATGCAAGTTTCTGTTTTTACCTGAGATTAATCGTGAGCTGGATGGACATTTTAGGTGTATCACCGTTCAGCGGGGCAACAACAGGGACTGGTGGTCGTATCAGAGATGTCCAGAGTGCCGGACGAGGAGGCCACGTCATTGCTGGCACTGCAGGATACTGCTTCGGGAACCTGCACATACCAGGTCCAAGACTCTATGCATCTAATGCATCTAACAAATTTCCCACGTGTGGGACTAATAAAGGTTATCTTATCTACTATTTAAGGGCAAGCTTTAAAACAGCTGTCCCCAACCTTTGTTGCGCCACGGACCGGTTTAATGTCAGACAATATTTTCACGGACCGGCCTTTAAGGTGTCGCAGATAAATAAAATAAAAATAAAATGATACAACTAGGACAAAAAACTGTGTTTTGTAAATACTAAACGCGAATTCACTGTCTAACTTTAGTAGCAGCGTCCTCCTGAAATGCAGCAACAACATTGAGAGTAACGTCCTCCTCTCTCCCCCTTAATGCTCTCGGGTTGCTATGGTAACATGTAAATATTTCTTTCAAAATAAGACGCACAACTACAACACGGGAAAAGACCCAAGGAAACGGAGTTGACGATAAAAACCCTGAAAATCATAAATTTCACACCCGAGCGTCAACTCTCGCGCCCCGGTACCAAACGACTCATGGACCGGCCCGGGGATTGAGGAACGCTGCTTTAAAACCTACAGGACAACAAATTAAACTCCACATATTAGCGTTATTATAATATATCACAAGTCTTCACTTCACACAAGTTTTAAATACCTAAATATAGTTTTTATCGATGAGTCATTTTGGCACCATGTGAGGATGCTAAAATGGTTTTGGTTAGAAGTTGATGTTGATCAGTGAATTGCCAGTTGAGGAAAGTAAAAAGGTGGTTTCATTAAAGTATAATAATTTTCTCTTTTAAAGGTAAAATTGAAGAATTTGACCACATGCATTTAGATAAACCTAGATGTCATCTGGATAACAGTTAAAAAGAATCTGAAAGTCTTGAATGATTTGCCACACACTTGGCATCTGTACAGAAAATGGATAATGGTCTAATAATGAAACCCTGAGGCACAACATGCCAAACGTAAAATAGATGCATTTTTGTTAATAAGGTATCAGAAAACATGGTTGGACTGTGCTGCACAGAAACTGACCTTGAGTCAACATGTCTTTCCATCTGTAGGATATGATCTCCCATGGGAGTGTAAAGGAGAGGGATGGGAGTATCCCTCCACCTTTGCCCTTCCTCTGCAGGTGGCCATTGAGGCCAGCGATGGAGCTTCGGACTACGGCAACAAGTTTGGAGAACCTGTCCTCTCAGGTAGGACGACCGTACACACTAAACACATAAGTTTAAGCAAGAATGCAAATCCAATACTATCTCTGTTGTTGCAGAAAATTCATTTTGTCTCTTTTCCTCAGACTGCTTCCCAAAAACATTGCATCTTTAAATCTGTAACCTATTTTCTAACATAACTGTACAAATTTATGAATGACTATTGAATTATTTTGGCACTGCTTTAATATATAACCCTCCTTTAGGCTTTGCTCGTTCCTTCGGCATGCGGCTGGCTAATGGGGAGCGACGGGAGTGGATTAAGCCGATCATGTTCAGTGGTGGTCTCGGTTCTATCGAAGATCTACACGTGAAGAAAGAAGTGCCAGAGCCTGGTGATGCTTTAACACACTGTGTGAAATGACATTAATCAATTCAGAGGCTATATTTACACACATTGATCAGAGACTCTCTGCTGCTCTGCTGTCCATCAGGAATGGAGGTGGTGAAGATCGGGGGGCCTGTGTACAGGATCGGTGTAGGAGGAGGAGCAGCCTCTTCTGTTCAAGTATGGACACTACAATTATTCAATGACCTCGTGTGACGTGAATGTTTTTCAGTATTTAAGTACATGTAAACTTGTAGGTCCAGGGGGACAACTCCAGCGACAGGGATCTGGGTGCTGTCCAGAGGGGAGATGCTGAGATGGAGCAAAAGATGAACCGTGCTCTCAGGGCATGCCTGGAAAGAAGTGGCGGAAATCCAATCTGCAGTATACATGATCAGGGGGCAGGAGGAAATGGTGAGGAAAATGTGGCTTCTTTAAGAGGTTATATAAAGAAAGAGAGAAAAACCAAGGTATTGAACCTATACTCTCATTTCTTTTTTTAGGTAATGTGCTCAAGGAGCTCAGTGAGCCAGCAGGAGCTGTGATATACTGCAGTAGATTCAAGGTAATCACCACATGAACACAGCTTTCTGTTTGTGTTTTTAAAACACATTTCTTGTATTTTCTTTTAAATAGATAAATGTCTGGATTTTTTTTATGCTTTGTGTTGTAGAAAGGTGACCCCACACTGAGTGTGCTGGAGCTTTGGGGGGCTGAGTATCAGGAGAGCAATGCCCTCCTGCTGCAGCCATCAGATCGGTCCTTCCTGGAGAGGGTGTGTCAAAGGGAGAAGTGTCCTGTTGACTTTGTGGGAAACATCACAGGAGACGGCAAGGCACGTTTTAGACTGGCTCGAGTCGATAAATGCACATCTATCATACCGGTCATTTCACCTTGTTGGCTAGGTCATAATGCCACAAGTGTCTCACTGAGTAAATCCACGCTCAGTGAATTACTGATTTCTCACTCAGATTGTGCTGGTCCGTGACGAGGGAGGAAGTGGCGATGAGGCAGACAGCGGGCGTTGTCCTGTGAACTTGCAGCTGGAGTGGGTTCTGGGAAAAATGCCGCAGAAGGAGTTTAAGATGGAGTCACTGGCCCTGAATCATCAAACACTGAGTCTTCCTGCTGGGCTGACTGTCAAAGATGCTCTGCACAGAGTTTTACGTTTGCCTGCTGTGGCGTCCAAACGCTACCTGACCAACAAGGTGTGTGTGTGTGTGTGTGTGTGTATATACCCGTCTTACAGTCTCTTGTTTTTAGAAATAACTTGTGCAGACACTGATTCTCCCTGTTGTCTCTCTCTCCCTCCATCAGGTGGACCGGTCTGTGACTGGGTTGGTTGCCCAGCAACAGTGTGTCGGCCCTCTTCACACCCCATTGGCCGATGTGGCTGTTGTTGCTCTATCACCTTTCAGCCTAGGAGGAGCAGCAACAGCCATTGGGGAGCAGCCAATTAAAGGGCTGGTGTGTCCTGCAGCAGGGGCTCGCATGGCTGTGGGTGAGGCTCTGACCAATCTGGTGTTTGCAAGCGTAACAGAACTAAAGGTGAGTAAATATGCAGAAACAAACAAGCTTAATTAATATATCGCAGATATGCAAAAATGTAAAAAGGTGTATTTTTAATCCCAGCATGATGTAATTATTAGAATTTTATTATTATTATTATTTTTAAAATCTTGTCAGGATGTGAAGTGCAGTGGTAACTGGATGTGGGCTGCTAAGCTGCCTGGAGAGGGGGCATGCCTGTGGGAAGCCTGCCAAGCCATGTGTGCAGTCATGGGTCAGCTGGGAGTGGCCATCGATGGAGGCAAGGACTCTCTGAGCATGGCTGCTAGAGTTGGAAAAGAGACGGTCAAAGCTCCAGGTACTCTGTGTGAGTGTGTGTGTGAGTGTGTGTGTGTGTGAGAGCTGTCTAAACTTAGCTTTTGCTCTGCTTCTTTTTCAGGTGCTCTTGTTATTTCAGCATATGCTGTTTGCCCTGACATCACTGCTACTGTGACGCCTGATCTCGAGGATCCAGATGGCAAAGGTATAACGCACACACCAAGACTCAAATCTGTCAGTGTTTTAATGGCATAAAAAATAAGTTAATTTTCCTTAGAGTTTTTTTATTTCTATTTTCATGCTTCTCTAACTCACACGCACATCGTGATCTCAGTAACAGACAGCTTGCCTCTGACTTTTTGTCCTCTGTCTGCAGGCGTGTTGTTGTGGGTTCCTCTCAGTCCAGGCCGTCATCGTCTAGGAGGCTCTGCCCTGGCTCAGTGCTACAGCCAGCTGGGAGACTGCTCTCCTGACCTGGACCAGCCAGAACTATTGACAGCCTGTTTCAACACCACTCAGAAACTCATACACGGTCAGTTTGCACAGGGAAAACATCTCCCTGCCACAGAAAGGGGAAAAAGTTGGCATCGAATTATACTGGGAGCAAAGTTTTCTTCAGTGTG